GTATTTTATGACTAAGCCAGAACCACTATTTCTCACAGCACAATTTCTTGAATACTTCTGATAGTGATTGTCTCCAGACAAGTACGAAGCTACTGGACACGTGTGGAGTGACTGAAGCCTTGGATCAATAACTGATATCTGCTGAGGTCCATGCTTCATAAACAATTCATCCTGCTACTAGGATGTTCCTGGAAGCTCTTGGTCTTGTTGCTTCTCCTCAGTGTCACTGCTTCTTGTTTGTCTACCTCTTTGAGGATCAAACTAAATGTTAAAGGGAATGCACTTTCCCTACAATTAACCAATTTTCTGACAACAGGACTTCTTAAGAGAGATGTGTTTCAGCAACCAGACATCTTAATGGTGTTACCTTCTCGTAAACAAAACAAAGCAAAGTAAATGCAAGATCCACATATGAAGAAAATCATAGGCTGTACATGACATCTTTCACTATTCAAAGGGGTCTTCTTCTAAAAATATGGAAAGTCCATGATTTAGTGTGGCCCGGAGTGACTAATAAAGCAGTGAGCAAGGAGGAATATCTTCCATGTATCTTATCTGCTTTCTCCAAGAGTTGTAGCAGTTGGGCACATTAAGAGAAGTGAGTAAATGGGCAGCAGCAAAGGAGGAAAAGGAGCTGGAGAAGACAACTTTTACCTGTCCCTCCTTCTCCCGCAGCCCCATGTGCTTTCTGAAAAGCTGTTGCAGAGAACTGAAGGAGCCTCCAGGGCAGGATGACCACAAACAGGAGGGAAGATTAAGAAGACCTCCAGTGAGGTGCATCTGTTAGACCTCAACCTGTTCTGCGAATGGTTAAAGCCCTTTCATTAAGGAAAGGAGCCACTCTGGATCCAACCCAATATTTCTTCTACTCAATAGATTACATTATTTTGCTCTTCTATCTCCAGTACAGACTGACATCATTTCTCTTTCAGAATTGATTCTGAAAGTTTTTTTAAAATATATTTCTAACATGTTGGTTCCTTTGTTCTCCTGTAAAGGAAAACTAAATGTGGAAGGCTACCTGTGTGTTGATGTGCCAATCTGCAGGCCTCCAGAAAACGGCGTCCAGGTGAGCTGCATCGGTAAATCAGATCATTCCAATACAAAACACTCTGTGTTCTTCGAGTCGCCAGATAGCTCAAATTATAAACTGTTTTGATGTAATCGTCCAGTTCTCTAAAGGAACAAGCAACCAGGTTATTTTGAAAAATCACTACCTTTTATTTATAAGAAAATTGCCCTAGCTGAAAGCAGGAACACTTTGGACACACAAACCTGGGTGTCTGGTTGCTCTGGGAACTGAAAGCACATTTCATGATGGTATCCAATGTCATCAAGCTGACATGTTCAAACATCTCCAGAGACTTTGTCTCATCTTTGTCAATCAGCCTCTCCCATTTATCCTAGCACAGAAAAAAAAAGTAAGAAGTGTTAAGATTCCAGATTGGACAGAATGCAGAATGCCTGCGACAGGAGAGATACCAGTGCTTGCTAACTATGTAAGCAGCCAACAAGGCCGAGTCTGTCCACTGACAATAAGCATTATAGCCATTATAAGTGGTTTTTTGGTTTCTTTGCTTAAGCAATGTTACATTCACTGAATTCAGGGATTCTAGAGTATGTAATGGTGGTTTTTACTATTGTTTTATTCATATTTTTTAATGTTATATCTTACGGTGTTTTTAATTCTAAATATTGCATTATTTTAACTGATTGCAGGCTGCCTGGAGTCCGCTGTGGTAAGAAATGTGCATTGATTGATTGGCATATTGAATGAACGAATGAATAATTTTATGCCTACAACTGCACTAGAACACCATATGAATGTGGTCCTTGTATATGGCTAATGAGGGCTGAAAAAAGGAGGCAGTGGTTGAAAAATGTTTTCCTCTTAGTTGATGTAGATACACACAAGCACAAACAAAGCAAAAAGTGTGCTGCTTATATACTGCCCCGTAGTGCTTACACTAATTTACTGTACTACCTAATTCTGCAGGCTACACAGGGACACCCCCCACCCCACTTCATGTGCACTGAACACTCAGTTTATCAATCTTGGAAGGATGAAAGGCTGATTCAGCCTTGAGCCAGCTACCAGGGCCCATCAGAGTCTTGGCTGCAGGACAGCAATTTAACCACTATAGTATGAGGCTACACACATACATTTCTGCTCAGCTTATGAAGAGATAGAAAATTACTTCTTTATTTTAACCAGCATTCCCCACCCAAGTATTTTCCAAATACACTGAACTATAACTCCCAGCATCTCTACCTAGTATTATACACTAGACCAGTGGTGGCGAAACTTTTTGGGCTTGTGTGCCCAAACTGGGGGCGGGGGGTAACAGGGGTGGTGTACAGTTTCAGCAGAAACTGAAGTGGTGGTGGAAGGGGGAATCCCAGGCACAGAGATGCCTTGAGACCCCACCCTGGATCCACCACCAGTACCAGCTGCTCTGGATCCTGACCTGCCGCCTGTCTGGGCACCAGCACCACAGCTGCAGCTGCCTGCTCAGGTTTGGCTGCGGGGGGGGAGGGGGAGTGGCAATCCGGCAACTTATGGCTTGTGTGCCGGAAGAAAGGGCTCCGCGTGCCAGCTGTGGCACGTGTGCTATAGGTTCACCATCGCTGCACTAGACCTTAACATCTGCCAGTCTTTTAGTCAACCTTACGCTTATTTTTTGCAAAGTGAGGGAGGTGACAAGGGCAATAGCAGCAACAGCGGTGAAATCACCACTCACCAGCATCCCTTTGGCTGAATCTGCCATCAGTGCTGTGTATGGTTTCAAAACATCATAATGGAATCCGGGAGTTAGCAAGCGCCGGTGGTGAAACCATTTCTTCCCATTAAGTATCAGAAGCCCTTTTCCTGAAGACACAAAAAGCAAGCAATCACTCAGAATACCATTGAGCTTAACAAGTTGATGATTAGCTATACCTTATTTATGTATTTCATTAATATATTTATATTCTACTGTATATCACAAGACAATAAAACAATATCAAACAAAGGATTTCAAATACTTTAAAGCAAATTAGGACAATGCAAACTATTCAGAACAGAGTACATAGAGAGCATACACTATGATAACCCTCTCCAGTTTAGTCAGGGCATGATTCCTAGACTGTGTGATAAGCCAAATGGTGCCAAAAATTTGGTCAGTGGATGGTGGCCGTCATGACTCCCAAGCAAAGGTGTTCCACAACAAGGGCACTACACTGTGTGTTGCTCCCACTGGTGCAACACAGACATAGTCTTACCAAAAAAAAAAGGAGCATGGTGTTTTAGTTCTGGTGAATAAATAAGTGTGGAAATATTCCTTTCTGAAAACCTGGAGAGAGCTCTAGCAGTCAGTGATAGAAATGCTAAAGACCCAATGGTCTGACTCTGTATTTAGGATCTGAAGACAGTGAGACATTGGGAGAACATGGGTTGTGGATATATATTTTTTTGAAAAATTCAGGCTTTTTTCAGTGTCTGGGAATGGCTGGGAGAAAGGTAGGGACAGATTTTGGCCACAAAGGAATGGAAATACCACCTGTAGTTAATTTTTTTGGATGAGGACTTTGTTCAAGGGAAGAAGCTAGGTCAGCTTGTTCCTTTGAACTGTGCTAACTAGAAAATTACTTGTGTGTGAAAGGAGAACAGAAACTGCTCTTGTCTTCATTAACATTGGAGGGAACTCACAGCCTGAGTGACAGACCATCTCAAATGGTCTGGAAGGTGATAAGCTATAAAAAGAAGTTCCAAAGTTACTTTAATTGATTATTTTTCTTTTGTAAGATGCTATGCTCAGTTGCTGTCCTGTTATGCCATGCTGGGAGGGATTTCATTGTGCATGCTCTAAGACTATATTGATGCAGTGCTAGTATGTTATTTTAGGTACTTTAGGTAGCTTTATTTTCTTGTCTTTTTGCTCTGTATTACTCTTGCATTAGACTCTTGATGCTTTTTGAAATCTTTTGAAACTATTGCCATTTTGACTATTCCACTATTTTTAATAAAATAGAAAAATGTTTTCATTCAATTGTCTGGATTTTTGGTGAAGGTTTGTGGTTTCTAAAACCAGGTTTTGCCTTCACCAGCTACTGGGAGTCTGCATTTTTGTGGGTTTGGTGGCACATCTACCTCACAAGGTTAGCATGAGAGTCTTAAATGCTTAACCTTGTGGATGTTTTAGAATGCCCTGAAAACAGTGCTTAGTTGAGTCAGTCTAGCATGTTGAGAGGGACCAGGTACGTTCCCTAGCCATCAACACATTTAACTCCCCAGGGCTCACCCACTCCAGGATCAAAAGGGTAGTGCAGCTAAATGGTTAAACTGGGACTCCTTGAACCCATTGGTCCATCACATAAAGTACTTCTCAAAGTAAAAGGCTTATAATAGATTTTTTTAAAAAAATACTTTTCATTGTGATTAGCACTATGAATAGCTGCTCTTGGATTAGTGAAATAAATATGACTGAAATATCATATTATAAAATTACCATTATCTTATTTATTGAAATATATTGTGAGACACCCCTAATACATGGATCATAAGGCTGTAATACATAGGAATGATCTTTGCCTTAACTTTATAAGGATATGAGGCAACTTGAGAAGACAGAGAAAATACAGCCTGGGATGACTGAGGTTCAGGTAATAGATTCATGCTGCATATACCCACGTTTTTGTATGTGCAAAAAAGGGGTTTATTCAGAAGATTTCTACCTACCAATCCACGGGACCAGGAAATTATAGCTGTCTTTAGCCTTAGGATCTGAAAAACAGAGTGGAAAAGATTATTAAATCAACAATGAGACAGCACAGTAACTGGGCTCTCAAGAACCTCAGAAACTGGTATCTTAGATAGAGCTGCTACTGGTTGCCATATCCATCTTCTCCTTAGGGTTGTGGCTATTACACATTGTATCCACCTTGTATATAGACATATAATGGTATGAGTAGCCAGATTTTGAATTGCAAGGATAAGATGTATGGATGTCAAGATAATCTGTTGGGAGGGAGATAAAATATTTCTGGATGAAATTGTGTTTTGTTTCATTGGTGCACTGCCTGACTCTATAGATGCTGTTCTATGGATCAGGAATTTATTTATTTATTTATTTATTTATTTATTTATTTATTTATTTATTTATATGTCACCCACACTACCCAAAGAGTGTATGTGTGAGAGAGAGAGATGCAGGAAGAGGGATCAGTTTAGCTCAACTTTGTCTGAGTTTGGGTTAAAGAGCTAAGATGGTATTTCTATCTGGAGGTTTTTACAGTGAAAACATGAGAGAGATTGGAAGTAGTGAGGGAAAGGAGGGAAAACTGGGCTGAGCCAAGAAATGTCTGCTCTTTCAGAAAAAGCTGTGGAAATACAGTGTGCTTTGCATTGGAACTTGTGCAAAAGCATGCATCCCAAAGACAGATGCATGCTTTTACATATTGAGAGAAGAAGGGATAGAGAGAGAGATAACTCTGTTCAAACTATATTTAAAAAAGAGAAAACTGAAAGATATATTTGTGAAGGCTTTCACAGCCGG